TTGCCCGTGTGCGCACTATATACCAGATAAGAGGCAGAGTGGGTGGGTTTTGTTGCGTGCACTAGACTTTCCTCCCCCCCGCCCCCCAGCGATCTGAGAAAACCGCTGAGCTTGCTCGGTGTACCACCCCCCCCCAAAAAAAAAATATGTACGTGCTTAGCTCTGTAAAAAGACGTCTGGGATCGGCAGCCAGCCCAACACAAAAGGAAGCGTCTAGACTAGGGATGTAATTGACAAGCCCATTCTCTAATCAATGTAGCAAATGTCTATGATGGACTAGAGCGCCATCCAATAAGAGAACAGGCTGGATGTTGTAATGATCGAAATATCCAAAGTGGAAGGAGGTGGGAAAGAGCGAGTGGCGTTCGTCCCTCCCTCTTCTCTAAAGTTCTCTCTGCTCGGCGCACCGAGGGATAGTTGGGAGCTGTCAAACCAGCGCAGAGCTATATAATACATTTGGATTTTGCTGAGAGATCTCTAATAACAAAAACAAGTTTTCTCTCAGTGAAAGTGCATGGCGCGATCAGTTCTGCTTAACATTACATTCACCTTTGTGCTTTGTGATTGAAACCCTTGAGCATTTCTGCAGCAACCTTGTCCCAAATTGAAACTCTGCTGTCGATATTTCTTATGCAGGAGAGGAGATGACACCAGTGAGCCCCCCCCCTTTTCTGACTGCACTGTTGTTTTTGTTTGTTTGCTGTTTTATTCTGGTGTGTTCCGATCTATTGTTGGTTCCAACCATTGTTACTTGTGATTGGGGGCATCCTAAGATATGAAAGTGCTTTGGAGGAACCGAGAGTGTTCCCCCCCCCAACATGATTACAGGTCCCACTCATTGCACGGGGTTTTACTCCCAAGTAGGCATGATTAGGGCGGAAGACTTCAAAGTGCTTTGGAGGACCCTGCCCTGTTGAATTCTTCTTCATGATCTCTGCTGCAAACTATGCTTCTATGCTTGACCGTTGGATGAGTCCCTCGAACGTGTGTATGCATTACCTATTAGGCACGTCTGGAGTTTGTGTCCCCCCCCCTTCATTTACTGGGACCAGTCAAAGATAAACACTTTGAACTCTCGTTGCTGATCTGAGCTGCAGTTTTAGGCACTCACTTGACTCCCGTTTAAATCAGTGGGACTGAGAGGTGCTGAACTCTGAATCTCACCCAGCGAGTGAAATTTGCTTATGTGAGGAGGGATTGTGAGAATTGTAAGATCCGTGTGTGTGTGTGTGTGTGTGTGTGTGTGTGTGTGTGAGAGAGAGAGAGAGAGAGAGAGAGAGAGAGCGTAAACGCGCGCACGGGTAGGTAGGTGGCATGATATATATTCCCCCTCTTCTCTTTCCTCCTTCCTGCACTGAACTCCAGAGAATTGGGAGAGGTAGAACTTGCTGGTTGGGAGCCAGGCTGGCTGTCTTTCTCTGGACCGGAGCTCTCAGTAGAAACCAAGTCCAACATAACCAACCACACACTTGCGCTCGAAATAACCTCTGGCAGCCCTTTCCGGTGTAAAACCCTCGCCTGCAGCCATGCAGGAGGTCCTTGAGTCCTCGAGCTGGCCAGGGCCAGGGCTTTCCGAAACGCTTCGGGAACTTCACCGCAGACTCCTTAAGCCCGCTCTTCTAAAGCGGAAGTTTGGACGTCTTCTTCGCGCCGGGCAATGGACGCCAACGGGCTCCCCAGTTTTTCAGGGGTCAGGGCGCTCGAGTAGGCAAATCTCGCTTTAAGAGCCAAGGCAGCGAAATCCCCACTAGAAAAGTAGCTGCGAGGAAACTACCCCGCTCTGACTTTTTCGGGGGGGGGAGACTACCCCCAATTGCTTTAAAGTAAAGAACACTGCAATTGGGGGAGGGGAATGGCATGGGAAGTATCGACTAGTCGTGACTTCACTTGTCATTTGCCGGTGGCCGAGCGGCCCTCCGAAGCGACTCTGCTCCGGAGCAAGCTCCCGCTTTCGACCGGCGGAACTAACCCCGAGGAAGTGGTTTTAAAGATCTCTCTTGCCTAAAAAGTTTTTAAATCATATTAATGCGATTTCCCGTTAAGTCTCTCCTTGATATATATTCAAGATGGTCCGTATAAGTGAACCCTCCGCGACGTAATTTATATATCTAAGAGGATTTCACCGAGGCTGGCGAGGTAAAAGTTTCTGCAAATAAAACATGGCAAATGCAATGCCGGGCAGCGTGCCAGGTAGAATATGGATAGGAGGAGGGCTCACGGCAGAAAGTCTCTTCACAGAGAGACATATACCATTTCACGGTAGCAGCAGCAGCAGCAGCCTATAGCACTTTTCGAAGTTCCCCTTTTAAAGAGACAATGTTGGCTTCAGCCAGATCTTCGTCTGCAATGTTTTTAATGAAGCGGGATCCTCTAAGTGTATTTGACCGCCCCCCTCCCCGCCTCCCCCGCTTCTTGTTATATCTCTTTTTATACCCTCGGGACGACGGACTTCCCCTCCTCCCCTCTGTGGGGGAATCTTCCTGAGGAAACCTTTTCGGGGGCTTGAAGCGAGGTTTGCGCCTCTTTTGAGGAGAGAAGCTTAAAGTTTATATTATGTTAGTGCCTTCCCCAGCTACACACTCGTGTGTGTGTTTATGGGGGATGCAGAGGGCGCGCGCGGATGTGAGAGCATTTTTGTGTAGGCTTCTCGGGAGGGGGTGGGGAAGGCGAGGAGGGAGCGGATGTGCAAAGGCTCAGTGCCTGAACTTGGATGCAACGTCTGCCTAGAGGGCGCAAACAATCATCCCACGTCCAAAAGTCTTACGAAGGGCGCCAAAAGTTACTTAAGATAATATTCCTAACCACAAAGAGCTGGAAATCGTACGGCAAAGCCGTCTGCCAGCAACGGCAGCGGAGCCAAGGGCCCGATCCTGCCTCGCTGACAAATTAGCCTTCCCCTGTCTGCTTTGTGGATTAAGGGAAATCATAAAACATCTCCCTAAGCATTCGTAGGGATGCATATGTGCATGCGTGTATGTATGTATATGGGATGAATACACACACACAGAGGGGATTAATGTTTCATGGCACGTGAGACTGGGAAAAGGTGAAAAACATTAGTATATGTGTAAAATGCTTGTGTTCTCTGTTGCTAAAACATATCCTACAGACATTTGGGTCTTATAAAGTACTATTCCCAGCTAATGTGTCTGCCTAGTCATGCCACCATTCACACTATTCGCACAACTATGCTGAAAAGTCAGGCTGGGCTACAAGTCTGTGGCTAAAGCAGTGGTGCATTTATTTCCCTGTTCACATTCCGCTGTCAGTTTCAGGACAAACACCCCTTTCTCAGTGTTTGTAGCAGCATCTCTGTACATTTCGAACAACTTGTGCATGGTGGCAAATGCGGGGACTGGTTGGCCTAGCCTGGTTAAGAGTAGGCACATGCAGGACTCTCTGGTGACTGCTATGTGCTGAATTGGTTGTGGGAGTAGGCAGTATGTATACAATATGTAGGGAGCACAAAGGAGGTCAATGCATGACTACCATTGGACCACCAGCTACTCTTGGGAGAGAGGGGCAGATGAGTAAATAAAGGAAAGACATAGCATGCTAGGGAACAAATTGAAAGTCGTAAATCATAAGTGAGGTTTTTATTTAAAAAAAATATCAGTACTTTAGTCACTTCTTTTTCCTCAGTGTTTTAGCTTTTTGTAAGACTGTCAGCCAGAAAGTTCTGTCAAGGAAACTTGGAAAGCTGAGAGATCCCAGAAAATGTTTAGTTGGGTGTGTTTCCATGTCATGATATCACTGACAGGTATTGGGCCATTCTTTTTTCAAAGGTATGAATGAAAACTGAAGGTAATTTTGCACTTAGCTTAGACATCTGCAATCCACAAATGATAATTTTAGTGAAGCACTCAACTTGGGAAAAGGAAGGGCCTCCAGGAGATAAAAGTGATATAGCGACTTAGGCCTCCTCCCTTAATAGCCTTGGGCAATGTATTTTCCTCTAAAAGTCCTTGCAGTATTTTAAAACATTCTTAAATTCGAAACACCTAGATCTCTGGTCCACATCAGAAGTCATGCATGCTGAATGTGGTATGTCTTGTGGTATTCTCTTCCTCTTTACGTGGTTTTTTTAAAAAAAGAGTTATGAATGGTTGTGGATATGCAAGTGTCTGAAAGCTGCAGCATTTGGGGAAATGAAAGGAAGACTAGAGAGGATGCCACTTAGGAGACTGAAGAAAGACTAGAGAGAAAATGTAAGACTCAATAAAAGAAAAGTTGTCCGACTGGAAACTTTCCAAACCCCCAAAACCAAACCTTTCTTGTGCCAAAACAATGCATTATAAGATAAATAAAGGACAGAAGGCTCAATTCAAAGTTGAGCAACTTTAAGTAGTAACTTTATTGCTTGAGGGTTGCAGTGCAGTTTTGAAGCTGTGCATTATTAGTAAAATAAGCATCCTTGGCTATAAAGTGCCCTGAGTTTTGTTTTTTAACCGACGTTCATATGCCAAGAGCTAGAAAGTTCTGAACAAATGTGTTTGGCTCTGCTCTCAGCTGGTGATCATGCTCTCATACAAAGCAGTCCATACAAATATATCCACAGTTATTAGAAGCTGCACACTTAATGCCTTATTAGCCTTCATATTTAAACAAAACTATGTAGAAAGCCCCACCCATTAGAGCTTTACTTGGGGACACGATTTCTGGAAAAACAATTTGCAAAGTTTCAAATCCACAGTGCGCCGCGACTTGTCTGCCAGCCCTTAGAAAAATGCTCTGTATCTATATGCTTTCTATGGGCGCTGCTGCTACTGTAAGATTTCGGAAAGCCTCTTTCCGCATGAGACGAATGGCGAAAGTTTAGTCCAAAGTCCTTAAGACGATCTCCTTGAAGGTCTTGTGGATGGGGGTGGGGGTGGGGAGAGAAGTGGGGGTGGGGGAGAGCGAGAGCGTTCGGGGAGGGGGAGGGGAGCGCGAAAGCGGCAGAAATATGGAAAAGTAGTTTTGTTTGCTTAAGCACATCCTGCAGAGCCTCTCGCCGCTCGGGAGCCCTGCCTGCAAACGGCTCCTGCTGCCTGCGCTACCCAGTATTGCACTGAGAGCCTGGGATCGGGGATCGGGAGGGCTGGCCGAGCAGTAGCACCGCAGCCCCCCTCCCCCGGGCAAGGCAGCGAGCGAGCTGCTGCTGCTGCTGCTGCTGCTGCTGGAGGAGCGGTGCAGAGCGGAGCAGCAGCAGGAGCAGGAGGCGCGCGGGCAGGTTCCCGGGGAAGCTGGAGGGAGCCGGGCGCTGTCGAGAGGCTGCCCGGGCTGCGAGCGCGGGGGGAAGTGCGCGCTATGCCTTTAACGCCCGGGCACAGGAGACATGTCTAGCGTGTAGGCTAGGGAAACTCTAGGCGGGGTTAAAGTTCAGCTCATGGAGCTGATCAGCGCTGCTGGCTGCAGTTGAGCAGAGTTGGAAATGTGAAAGCAAGAAGCAGGCTCGGCTCTTCCCCCCTCTTTCTTTTTCTCTCTCTCTCTTCTCTCTCTCTCCCTCCCTCCCTCTCTCCCTCCCTCCCTTTCTCTCTCTCTCTCTCTCTCCCTCTCACTCACACACCTCCAAGCCACAAACCCCCCCGCAGCAACCATGTATTCTCCTCTCTGTCTTACCCAGGTAAGAAGCTTCTTCGGATTCATTGGGGGGGGCGAGGAGGAGGGCAAGGGGCTTCTCTGTCTGTCTGTCCGCCCGTCTGTCTGTCTTAGGCGGGGGTTCGGGGGAGCCTGGCGGCGGGAAGGGGGCGCAGAGGGCGGGAGGGCGAAATCCCGCGGGCGGAAAGTAACTTTTCTTTCCCACTCGCTTGCATTCCTGCTCTTGCACGGCCATTTGTAGCGACACATGGCTAATGGCGCCTCGTTATTAAGGATTTAATTAATATTGGGGTGCGCAGACGTCTCTGCCGGAGGGAAGGGGGATCTGGCGGGAGGGGGTCGCGCCGAAATCCCGTGTGTGCGTGTTCGTGTGCGCGCGTTCGAGGACGATCTGCACGTGTTTCGCAGTCGTGCAACCCCATTACATGCTTGGTCATCTGAAATCAATACTCACTGTTTGTGCTTCCGAGGCGACGAATGCATGCAAATAGAGCAACACACGACACAGATACAGTTAGATGCTTTCTGTTTTGTTTTTAAAGTGTAGCGTTGAGTAGCTGCGTGCTGCATGCATCTCTCCCCCCCCTCCCCACTGCTCGAGCTGCATTGCTTTACCTCCCCAAACTCCTCGCACACTTTTTGTTCAGCAGCCTCGAATTTGTGTGGCTGGTGCTTTTACAGCGGCTCCCTCGGTTTGAGTCCCAGACGGAGATGTAGTGCCAGAGAGAGATGCATTACACCTATGCCTAGGGCTCTGGCCCTTCCAGACATTGCGCGGGGTTTTTGCATGGCTAGCTGGATGTTTCAGGGAACCCCGGGCGCTTCTTAGCCGGAGCCCTGCGTTGCTGCTGCTCCGGTTCCTGCTGCAGCGCCTCCTGCAGCGCCTGCCCTCCCGCTCCTCTCGTGCACCAAACCCAGCTCGGGATCCTCGGCGGGCACTGCAGCCCTTGCATGTCCCTGCCCAGCGATCCCAGCCCAGAGCTGCCTCCCCGGCTGCCTCCAGTGCGCCTTGTCACTTGCTCGGGTGTCACGTTCGCCTGGGGTTGTTTCCTTTGGGAAGTTGGGCTTGCAACGTCCTGCTTGCAGAAAGGGGAGGCGGGGAAGGCAGTTTCTTCTCGCATAAAGTTGCTCGACCCCTTTTGTTTGCAACGCAGCAGCTCTTAAGTTCTTCGTGGGCTGGCAATAATTTCGGACCTGATTCCCACCCTACCACCCCCACCTCGCACCCACCTCTCCAGATCCCCTTCCGATTACACTGCTCTGAATCGGAAGGGTACTGTTCCTGACGCCTATGCAACACATGGGAAACTGCTCCCTGAGACTTCGGACAACTTTCCTTTCTAACCTCAAACACGATCCTACCCACCCCCGCATGGTGCCCCCCCCCCGGCCAAAGAAAACTTTAGGGCAGCGCCAAATCTTTAGATAACAGTCACACACCCTATCTTCTTTCTCGGATTTATTTCCACAATTCAGAAACATTGCCCCAAGATGTATTTCGTGTGTGTGTGTGTGTGCGCGTGTGCCTTCCCTTTCCCTTCTCTTTCTGCAACTCAGTAATCTTGGTTGGAAGTTTGTTGCCTCCCAGTCTTACACGGTGAAAGTTTCTAGAGGATTTAGATAAAGTTCTTTCATTACCATTTCAAGACGTCTTTCTGGCACAGAGTGCTGCTACCCACCTTCAGTTAGCAGGATGTGATGATGATTTTGGGGTGAAACACTTGGGGACCCAAGCGTCCAATATTATTTCCTGCCTTTGTATGGGTTTTGAAGTGCATGTGTGGGTTCCTTTTAAAAGAGGGCTTCACAGTGGATTTTGCAAGATGACCAAGTAAATGCTTAGGTGTGGATAACACTCAGACACTGACAGAACCTCGCTACCTAACCTGTAATCCATGAACTTGCAACCAGAATTGCTACACAATGCAGCTTAACTATGTTAACAACCTCAAAGTCGGTTATAGGCAGATGCCACAAAAGTTTTGTCTTACTTCATGGAGAACTCAGCCCAGTTATCCCCCCCCCCCGATTTATTTACAGAGGGTAGTACAGATCTCCCGCTCTCTAAAACACATGCATACACCTACCTCAAGCTGCCCACTCTCCCCCTCACCACACACACACACACACACACACACACACACGTATGCATACTGTATCTGGGTATTCTGGTTTTTAGTAGGCCCAACCATACAGCATACAGATTTCAGATAGTTATAGCACATATAAAAAGGAAATCTTAACATAAGAGACATTCTGCTGCAAAGCGCTCTGCATTCTCATTGCACATTTGGAAATCGCGTCTAGGTATTCAAAGGCGTCTTTATACAACCCACCAAGAGTGTTTCGAATATAGAGCCAATCACATATAAACCATAAGTTATACTATTAGGAAAGGCTTAAGTAGTTGTATCAGCGTTTCAAAACCCTTGTCTCCTTTAAATTTGTCTAGTATGATTTAAAACATAATCATAAAGCACATATACCCGGCTAATGGAGCTGGAAGACTAGGACAAAGTACCTGTTAAAGGGTTATCTACTCCGTGGCCCCCTCCACACCACTATAGGTGATTTACCTACTTGCTGTTTATCTGACATTGTCCTGGCTTTACATTAACAGCTCATCATAGATGTGCAGGCAAATATACGTTGGCTTATGGTTTATAGAAGTATTGATGCTTTGAGAGTTTATAGAGCTGACTAACTTTCAAACGGAGCAGCGCAAATGTGTTTCCAAAGATTGCTAGAATGTTGCATGCTTTTATTTGTAGAGGGGCTTAGATTCTTTTTCCGGTCGCCTTTTCTCATTTACAAATATACACCAATTTTTTTTTTTTTTTGTTCTGTGAGCCAAACTTTAGCTGTGTAGTTGTGGCAATGTGCTTGTTGAAGCGCAATACTTACGAATTGCAGAAAGGATTTATAAACTCACTTTTGTTATCTCCCCTTACCCAGCCCCGGAAAATAATAATGGAAGATGCATATGCTCTTTTTAAAGCAATCTTCCTTGTTCAGAATGCAACTTACTAAACTTTATGAGAAGTTTTGGTTCTAATCCTAACTTAGGACAAAGACCCCATTACCACTTTTTGTATTGACTACTTTTAATCTTTTAAAGTGATTATGCACACATACCTGGACATTTCTTAAATTCACCAGGAAAACCTTGGTAATTGAAGAAACTGTATTGTAACATAAAATATAAAGCTGTAATTCATCTCGGTTGTTGAATATATATTATTGCTCCTTTTCTAATACCTTCACAGTGAGATTTTGGAGGCTGTCTTTTTAAAAGGGGTATATTTGTACGTGAGGCAGAATTATTTTGAAAAAGCAGTAAACCTCCCATCTACAATCTTGACAAATCCTATTTGCTTAACAGTCCTTATATCAGCAATGATGGACCTCTTCACTGTATCATTATTTCAAGGCCATTTGGTGGTTTTTGAAGCTTTTACATAAATCTTTTAGCTATTTTTTACCTTTTTCAACCATGCGCTATTGACTCGGCTTTACAATAGAATAAAAGAAGTATAGTTGGGAAGGAGTTCAAGTTAGAGCCAGGAAGGACTGCGAGCATACAAGGTTAGTTAATAATATGTAGGAAACAGTTTTTAGGATAAAGCCAATATCTGAAGTGATCATTTATTTTGCAGTGAATTACTTTAGCAAATGTTTTATACAGCATAGAAGATAAAAGATTATAAAAGGCCCCATTTGTGATGCTGTTGACTATTCTGAACTGTGTCTCTGTCTGCGTGTGGAAAAGGCCTCGGTGTGTTGTATCCTGTGTGATAGTTTACTTTGCTCTTAGTGGCAGCCTCTATTAGTGATACATTTGGTGTGTGTGGTTTTTTTTAAAAAAGTTCATTTTTGAAAATGCAAATAAGCATTCTGCCTTTGATCTACTGCTGTTGGAACTGCTATTATCCTAATATGTCTTTTGTACTTCTTTGAAATATAAAGCAGGGTTGTTTCAAGAGTGTGTCAGAAATCATCATTTTGTGAAATGTCTATTTAGTATATTAGACCCAGCTAAACATTCATGCAAATGCCTATCCCTTCCATTCCCAGCAATATGTTTTGGCCCCTTTATGTACTTTCTAAGAATCTTTTCTACTGAAATACGTAACAAATTGTCATTTGTCTGTTATATTTTAGATACAGTATACAGCAATTAACCATTTGCGGACCAGAGAGGCCCACAGTTTTTAGAATCATTTGGGTGCTTTTTCTTTCTTTCACACCTGTATTTAATTGAGTAGAAAAGAGACCTTGTAAAGCATTAAATAGAGATGCTTCTTTTTTTAAAAAAAAATATGAAATTATTTTGGTAACAGTTATAGTAACACATTTCATAAATTAAGGAATTACACAAAAAATAAGTTGCCAACTTCTTTGCTGCATAAGTATGTGTACTTTTATGCATAGGAGAAAGTCCATGTTTATAAAAACATATGTTGACAGTGATAGCACCTCTTCCAAATGCATGCCAGTTTCAGTAGGAAAAATAATCACATTTCGCAGCTGTGTGTTTACAGGATCAGATATTTTAATAGCATATGCTTTTCTATAGGTACTTCCATAACTAATTGCGTGCATATAAATAATATACATAATGATTATAATACATTTCCAATGACCTGTATGGCCTTTGCAGCATTTGCAGTGTGCACACCTTTATTTAAAAGTTTGATCCATGACCTCTCTTTCAATATGTTCATTGACGTGGGAGAAACGTTTAAATGTCTTTTTCTATTTTTATAAAAGGGCAAATTAAAGTAATATGTATAATGTCAATGATTTATTATCCACATTTTATTACAATGTACAAATCTAGGTGTTTTACTTAATAGCTTTCTGGATTTGTATACAAACTTTCTAGCTTCCAGGGTTCTTTTTATCATTTAAACAAACTTAAGTAAAAAAGAATTGTACTCGCGATGTGTTATATACAGTTTTTGTTTTATATATAAAGATCGGAGAAACCTTTCAGCATTCCACATTTTGAGGATTTTATTGCATAGGTTTAGAAAATGTGATAGCATTTTATGTTTCCTTACTATTAAAATAATCATATATTCGATTCTATTTACATAATCCTAATTTGAAATTCTGTTACATTACAGGTCGATACTTTAAAATACATTTTAGGAAAAGTTTGTACTGTACATCAGATTTGACATACCAGTGCTAATTGGCATCCAGATGTTTAGGTTTTGCCAAATCGGTGGGCATATGCTACAGTGGCCGCACCATTCACAGAAGGGTCACGGAAAGAGCAAAGAAATATATCCCTACTTTCAGTTGGGATTAAGATCACAAAAAAACTTATTGCCAACCTCAGGTTACTGATTCTGGACTTGTCTATTGACTTAAAGGGAACTGTTGTAAAGTCAGTGGTTTCAGGCTTATACCCTTACATCCTGATCCGAAGTACATTTGCTTAGAAGTCCATCCCATGGATTTTAGGAGGACTTATTTCTGAGCGAATGTGATTAGGATTGGCATGCCAGGATGTTTTCAGCACTTGTGTTTAAGCGGTTTTGCCTTATTATTTTTTTCTGAATGAGGCCTAGTGACTACAGAAAATTGGGTTATTGGATATGTTTATGATTCTACCTGGTGTATCCACTACAATGATTTGGTCCTCCCTGTGTTCTGATGACTTAAAATGGCCTGCTTGTAAGTTATGATGACTATTAGTGAAACAAACAAAGCCTTTGCGATGCTAATTATTCCTTCTTATAATTCTTCATTTTAATTCCTTCCAGGATGAATTCCATCCCTTCATTGAAGCACTTCTTCCCCACGTCCGAGCATTTGCATACACATGGTTCAACCTACAGGCTCGAAAGCGAAAATACTTTAAAAAACACGAGAAACGCATGTCAAAAGAAGAAGAGAGAGCTGTGAAGGATGAATTGCTAAGTGAAAAACCTGAGGTCAAACAAAAATGGGCGTCCAGACTTCTGGCAAAACTACGGAAAGACATCAGGCCTGAGTATCGGGAGGATTTTGTTCTAACTGTCACGGGGAAAAAACCTCCATGTTGTGTTCTTTCCAATCCAGACCAGAAGGGCAAGATGAGAAGAATTGACTGCTTACGCCAGGCAGATAAGGTCTGGAGGTTGGACCTTGTTATGGTGATTTTATTTAAAGGTATTCCGCTTGAAAGTACTGATGGCGAACGCCTTGTAAAGTCCCCACAGTGCTCAAATCCAGGGCTGTGCGTACAGCCGCATCATATAGGGGTTTCTGTTAAGGAACTCGATTTATATTTGGCATACTTTGTGCACGCAGCAGGTAAGTGCCTTTATCCCAGTTGTTCAACTTTTAATGACTTTTTGAACCAAACGATTTAATCTGTGCTTGCATCCACCATGCTGGTTGGGAGCATGGCTGTGATAGTGGTTGAAGTTTAACCAGTAACGGAAAGGATATAGACATCCTGTGTTGTATTGCAAAGCTGTTAATAAAAGGGGATTGCAAAAATATGAGGGTTTTTTTACATTGTAACCTAAGATTCTGCCTTTTTGAAGCTTTTTCATAAGTACGGAACTGTAGTATGAAGATGGAGACTGTATGTACAAAATATTTCTAGGCCTGGTTAAAGATTGGAAATGAGGGTGCTGTGTATTTCTGAGTGATTATTTTGCCCAACTTGTTCAAAGTTCACTATTTTGTGAGGAAATCAGTAATAACTATAAAAAAACTTACAAGCCCAACCTGTAATACAGTATGGTTAAATATCCAAAATTTGGCCGCTTTAAGAAAAAACACTGAGCACGCAGTGATGGCTCCTCACAGATACACAAACTGTCGATTTTAATTGCCATGGGTAAGAAAACATCTGCCTAATGAAAGAGGGGGAAACAAAAAGTTCCTGGTAACCTCCGCCTGTGGGTAGAATATTATTGCTTTTAAAGGATGGGTTGCTAGTTTAACACGTGAGATTCAGGAAAATGCATTGTTTGCAACTGTACTTCTGGCTGTGACTATCATATACCTGCCACTAGTAATAGATAAGTGCTGTTACTGATCAAGACAGTGTGCATTTTCCCGTAACCTTGTTTTAGTCAAATTCATAGTTTCTCAGTAATTAGGCCTAGCAGTTTCAAAGCAAGCCACTTGTCTCTCTGTGACTCAGACATTTCAATATTTCAGTTTGGATCAGATTGGAGAGGAAATTTAATAAGCTTAACAGTTTTAATTTGATCTAGCATTTTTAGGTGTTAGGTACATTGGTGGCTGTTGGATGGTCTTATGGAAAATGGTAATTGGTCTTTGTTGTGTGACATCTTGTCATTTAGTAATGTTGTTGAAATCATTGGCATGTATGATTATGAAGAGGTTTTGTGCTTTTCTCCTAGAAAGGATGGCTTGCTTTAAGTTTGCAGATATACGTGATTCTGTTATTTGCATTGTGTACTTACGCTGAGTGGCACGTCCAAAAATATTGGTGAATATGCGATGTGTTTCTGAAGTGCTGTGGTGTGGATGCTTTTTCATGTATTTTTTAAAAGAATAAATACCAGTGTTCAGTTTGTTAATTAAGAACTGCCAATGATAGACTGTAGACCCAACTTCATTGTAGGATTTTCTGTGAGACTTTATGGAAAGCTGATGAATCAGTTAAAGATTTAAAATATGGATGCTTTCATTAAAAATGTTTGGTGCTAACAGCATGTTGCAAACTATCTTCATACATCTGTTGACTCAGGACATGCATTGTAGATTGATTTTTAAAATAATCCATGGCAATTAATTGAAAGTAGTTGTTATATTGATTACAAATACTCATAGTATCACCTTAACAAAGTTACTGTTATATATTAATGCAATCAGGCATAATATAATCAATTGCTTCCATTAAGGAATATATATCTGGCAATATTCTGTGGTACGGTTGTGTTGCTATGCTAACAATAGAGCCTAGTAAATCTGGTAATGATCACCTTTGTGAGCTTTGACTCTCTCTCTTTTAAAGGATGCCAATGGTATTTTCATATATAGGTAAACTGCTTTGGGGGAGTATTCGTGTTTGCAGATCCTTATAAAATGTGTTTTTTTCACATCTTACTTTTTCCGCAGGTGTAATATATCACACTCTTTTTCAGCTTGTTTGTGTTGTAGAAAATATTTCAATGACGCTGTGTATTTGAGAACGTAGTAACAATTTGCATTACGATCGGACAACCTTCATTGGGGGTAATGGTTGTAGTTTCTTTCTTTTTTGCGCTGATGTATCCCAGACTCCTTTGTTAAACCTGAACGTTGGCCAAGTTAATAGTGATTGGCTCTTGCAGAGCTGCAGTAATGGCAACTTGTACTGTATGCGCAACAAGAGCATTTCAGAAGAAAATCTTAAAGGCCCTTTGTCTTCAGATTAACCTGATTTGCTTTAAAAGATTTACTGACCTTATAGTTATGCTGCGATAGTTGCCAATAAAAATGTATAAAATAATAGGCAGGTTGATCAACGTATATACAGCTGAGCTGAGGAGCGTCTTCTATATCCCCAAAGGTCTGCAAACAGAAAATGTTTCTTTCTACTTAAAAGTTTTGAGAAGTTGCCAGTGTTGGCAAGAGGTTCAGACTCCAAAACGTGCTTTCAGATATTTGCCAAAACCATTGTGGCCTTTGCACTCAGAGTGCTATTATTTCGTGTACTGTTCCAAGATACTTTAATTCCTGATGATTTCTGCAGTATGGTGTCCCTTTCCTTCTTAAATATGTATTTATAACAATTGTGTGGAGGACTCTTTCCCTCCTTCTTCTTTGCCCCCTCCTTGTGCCAGGACATAGTCATTTGCAAGAAAATCATGTGCTCAAATCTAAACAATGCTCCTGCTTGCGAAGTAAGTCTGAGCCACGAAAACAAATTATTCTCCTAAGGAAATCATGTAGAAACAGGGATGTAAAATTTGACAATTATGTGAACTAGCTTGCAAAGATTGAAAGAAAACTGTGAATAAAAGAATTTCTGAGCAAAGAGGTGGCGAAAGTACACTGAAATTAAAACATTGGTTTCAATTCGGAGTTTTAGCTTTCTTTTTTAAGGCCATCAAAATACAGTAGTGCTACCTTTAACTTTGGATTGCTTTTCCCCTCTTAGTTCTCTAGCCCATGTATCAAATGGCAACTTGGAAACTGTTGTGACAAACAGTATTCTTTGTGGGAGTATAATACCAAAGTAAATTTATGACCAGCCCTTTACCAGATGATCTGTATCAGAATCTGCAATATACTTGGCACGTGGCAGGGTCACCATTTAAGTTGTTAGGGTCATAACCTTCGCCACCAGGCATTTGACCTTTGAGATAAAGTTAACCTTTGTTCATTAGTAGGCACTCAAGCGAGAACTTCCTTGTTTTTTACTGCAGCAGAGCAACTTCAGCTAACATGATCACATTGTAAAAGGGGATTCTAAGCTCAAGCACTGGGTTCTGTGAGAGGTTAAAGATTTCTCTTTGTTTTTTGAGGATATTTTAAATGGACAAAGCTAGCTTGTGTTTTGTCTGCCACATACAATAGCTGATGTTTTTGACCATTATCTGTTTTAGGCATGGTTTTAACAGCATGAGCCTATGCATGTTTACTCAGAAGTAAGTCCCACAACCTTACTCTCTAGCAAGTACATGTATATTAAGGTTTGCAGCCTAAACATAGCAAATGCTTTGAAAACTCTGTGTGTGTGTGTGTGTGTGTGTGTGTTTAAAAATGCTGAATTAAAATCTAAAAATCTGACCAAGATATAGTAATTTAATTAGACCTTTTCCTATAGATTGTAATGCTATTAAGAACTGAAGCCAAAGTCATGACAAGGCTGATTTTGTTTTGGTAGCTGTGAAAATGTGTTTAGTTCTGGAGATAAGTGACAGTGTAATATAAAGAGCACCTTTTTTCATCTATAATAAACCAATATTGTATATTATTTTGGAGGGTGGTGATATTTACCCCATAGCTGGTAAAGAAGCACCATGTGAGTTAGTTGGTCATGAAGCATAGTGAGATACCTTTGCAAAATTTTGGGCACCTTTGTTCTAAATCTGAAAGGTACATTGTATACTTCTAGTACAATTGATCATTATTGCAATCATCCTGCAATACAGAACATTTGGTATTTATCAATAATGTAAAAGCTGTTGTAATAATTCTGAACACTTCAAACAGAGCTGGCACAAGATTTTGTAACCCTTGATATCTTCCTGCAAAAAGTATATATATTCCATATAAAGTATTTCTGATCACACCACATTATTCCATATGACTGTGACAGTGCATACTTTATTCTAATTATGTAGCCTTTTAAAAAAATGTTCTTTTTAAAAATTCAGTGTTTATTTCATTTAAATCAGAGGAAAATAAATGCCATTTAGGTATGATGTGCTTTCATTGGTTTGTGACTGCTGTTGTCATTCTTTCATATGACTGTACAGTTATGCATGATTTGCTGATTAACCAGATGGCCATAGTAACAGATTGAGAACCTGCTCCCTATTACTAAAAAGCATGTGTAAGATCACAAAGGTTTTTAGTTAGAACGGTATCTATTGGGTAAAACAAGACTCACTAAAAAGAATTTCATATTCTATTCTAAACCTAATCTACAGTTTTAGTGTAATCCTGTGCATGTCTACTCAGAAAACGTGGGTTTAAGTTCAACAAGCTTTACACCCAGATCAATGTGTGAAGTTGTAGCCTAGGTGTGCCGACTTCTCAGTATGTAACCCTATTTTATAGAGAACTTAATTTACACTTCAGCATCAAGTGCATTTGATCCTCAATAATGGAACCTTGAATACGTAGCTCCCTTTACCAAGATTCACTGTGTCCCCAGTGGAACTCCTATCTAGCATTACGCTTCATAAACATCACTTGCTTTGATGCAATATCTTAATTTAGATGTCTTCTGGGCGGTCAAAACTTTATGAAGCTCTGTTGAGCATGTGTAGCTCTGTTCTCTGCATAGCTGGAGAGAGTTCCCACATCTGACCTTGAGCACTCTTCATTATTGCAGAAAGTGCAGCAGTCCTTGGGTGGTATCTGCGTGACACTACACAGCAGCATCAGATCAGGGAGTATAGCAATGTATATCAGTGCATCAGATTAGGGTGATCAAGTACTCGTTGTGCTTGAGTGTGTGCTTAAGCCTCATTGATTTAATCAGGACTGCAGTACGCAATTTTTTCTGAGTTATTCTGGACTTGTATGCATGTTCCACAGCATAAGAATATATTGTCCTCAGTACTTAAATGTATTTATTCCTTTTATAAAGCTAGCTCCTGTCTGCCTTAGTTAAA